TTAGATCCATGGATACCAGCTCCACCAATGGCAACCCAGCAGTCTCCGATCCATGAGCCAGGATATTCCCCATTTTCCCTTAGGATAGTTGAGCAGGACATCTAAAGCCAGGCACCAAAGAGTTCTGATACACAAATGTGACTTGCTGTGTGAAAGCCACTAAGCTCAGCACCACAGAAGACATCCAGATGCTCTGGGACATGCACTAGTCAAAACTCAAGGACAGAGGAGGAGACGCCATAATGGGACACTACAAGACTAGGCTAGGGACAAAGGAATATTTAGGTACAACAGTGGGCTACTGTGATGGCACAAATGGGTGCTCTCATGGAACCATGGAGCACTGTGATGGGATGGTGGAGCACTGTGATGGGATGGTGGAACACTGTGATGGGAGGGTGGAGCACTGTGATGGGAGGGCGGAGCACTGTGATGGGAGGGTGGAGCATTGTGATGGGATGGTGGAGCACTGTGTGGGAGGGTAGAGCACTGTGATGAGATAATGAAGCACTGTGATGGGATGGTGGAGCACTGTGATGGGATTGTGGAACACTGTGGGAAAAGAATGGAGCACTGTGATGGAATATTATACAAGGAAGGTATAGTGGTGTGACAGAATTTTAAAACACTGTGATAGTTCATGAGGAACATTGTACTTTGAGAACAGAGCACTGTTTGGGAACAATGGAGCACTGCTGATGTGAGACAGTGGAACCGTGGTGGACAGTAGAGCACCGTGATGGGACATGGAGCACTCTGATGGACAGTGGAGTATCATAGAAGGAGAGTACAGCTCTGTGACGGGACGGTAAAACATTGTGATTCGACAGGAGAACACTGAGATGACACTGTGGACTGTTGTGTCAGAGAGTGGGGCACTGGGGCAATGCTTTGACGTGCAACGGAATTTTCTGATAGTACAGTGGAGCACTGTGATTGGAGCGGATGGTGAAGCATTATGATGGGACCCAGGGCACTATGATGGGACAGTGGAGCACTCTGATGGGACAGAGCATTGTGATAAGACAGGTGCACATTGTGATAAAATAATAGAGCACTGTGATGAGACAGTGGAGTGTTGTGATGAATCAGAAGAGCAAAGCATTGTGAGGGGACAGTGGAGCACCACGATAATAGTGACTCACTGTGAAGGGATAAGAGAGCACTGTGACTTGACAGTGGAAAATTAGGATTGGCCAGCTGGACATTGTATATGACAGGAAAGCATTGTGCTGGGACACTGGAGCACTGCAGCAGAACAATGGAGCATTGTGATGGAGAGTAGAGCACTGAGGTGGGATAATGGAGCACTGTGATAAGAAAGGAAAGGATTATAGTGGAACAGTGGAGCATGGTGATGGGACAGTGGAACACTGTGATGGGATGGTGGAGCACTGTGATGGGACAGTGGATAATTGTGATGGAACTGTGGAGCACTGTGATGGGACGGTGGAGCACTGTGATGGGACGGTGGAGTACTGTGATGGAACTGTGGAGCACTGTGATGAGATGGTGGAACACTGTGATGGGACGGTGGAGTACTGTGATGGAACTGTGGAGCACTCTGATGGGATGGTGGAACACAGTGATGAGATGGTGGAGCACTGTGATGGGGCAGTGTAGCACTGTGATGAGATGGTAGAACACTGTGATAGGATGGTGGAGCACTGTGATGGGATGGTGGAGCACTGTGATGAGAAGGTGGAGCACTGTGATGGGATGATGGAGCACTGTGATGGGATGGTGGAACATTCTGATGGCACTCTGATTGGGTTGATGGAACAATGTGACAGGATGGTGGGGCACTGTGAAGAGAATAGTAAGGCACTAGAGAGGCTCAGAACACTGTAATGGGGGTCAGTGGAGGACTGTGTTACAACGCTCAAGTATTGCTTTGAGATACTACAACTTCATTATGTTTTGATTTTTAAATGTGTTTACTGAAAATTATCATAAGAACTCTATCAAAAAGATATCACTTTCAGCTGGGTGCTTTGATACACACCTATAATCCCAACACTCAGAGGAGTCTGGGGCAGAAGGATCATGAGTACATGTTCCACCTGACTTGCAGAGTGAGCCTGAGGCTTGTCTGTACAACTTAGTGATATCCTATCTGAAAATGAATTTTAAAAGGAGGGAGGGCTGGGGCATAGCTCAGTGATACCACTCCTGCCTGGCATGCCCAAAGCCCTGGGTTCAACCCCCAGTACAAGAACAAATAAATGCCTTCTTTTATCATATAAGTCAAATCTTTTACATTTTTAATTAAAGAAAAAATAATAAAGACACCCCAGTGCCAACAGTGAGCTACTCTGGAATGCCAACAAAACATTAGGCAGACATTACTCTCTGCCAGTCAAATCAACAAGTACTGTGGCAAGCTCCCTGGGCCCTCAGGAAGGTGAGCTATATCCAGTGAGGAATCTTCCCTCATAGTTCACACTGACCCTGGCTCAGACCTCACAGGCCATGAGAATGACTGTCACTCCGCCACTGGTTGCTGCCTCAGCTTTGAAGCACCTGCTTTTCTACTTACTAAATACCATCTTGATAAACAGAGACCCAGGCCCTTTCTCAGGCACCTGTCCCGTCTGTGCAGGTGCTCCACAGCCCCCTTTTCTAGCTCTGGTCATTAAACTCGCCACCACGGTGGCAGCTCCACTTGTTTTGATGTGAGCAGGAATCAGAGAACCAGTTGGGTTCATTCCCTGCTCTTCCAGCCTGGGTCTCCATCCACCACATCCGTTCTCCATGGTAACGCTCCAGCCCCTTCTGGAAACCCTCGGACCTCCTTGCTTAACAGTAATCAAAGGACAATCCCACCAAGTCAATCAATGAAAAGGCACTCATTAACCGCCTTTCCCAAAGTTAAAAGGTCTCTAACAAGGAGCCATTAAAGGCAGACATTCAAAGTTGTGTTTCCCTGGGCTGTGGGCTAAATTAGGCTGACTGTTTAGCTTGAAGGAAAAGGGCAGAGTGTCCTCACCCAGAGCATACGAAAGGTCAGCACATTCACCCCTCTGGGAGCCGCACACCAGAGCTGGAGAGACGCAGGGCGTGAGTGTCTGGGAGTGGGGCACTCGAGTGTGGCACCCCAGTTGTGCTGCCTGAGTTCGAACTAAGCTATTTGTGGGACCCATTAAAGGACAGAACAGTGGAAGCATTTAAAATCAAATGCCCTGCAGTTGTCCAAGTCGTGATGGTTTCCCACAGGCTGAGGAGAAAGAGGTTTTCCTGGCTGCTACGAGGAGAGTAGAGAGGAAAGGTAGAAACAAGAAACAAAAGGTCAAGGGGCTGGCGTGAACGGGGGCTGTTGCTTATTTTCATGAAGTGGCGTCCCCCCCTCCCTCCCTTCTGTCCTCCCTTTCTTCTTCTTCTTCTTCTCCTTCTCCTTCTCCTTCTCCTCCTTCTTCTTCTTCTTTTTTTTGCTTTCATCTCTAGTTTGTGTTTTGTAGCTGCCCACTAACTAGGTGGCAAGGCACTACAGAAGCCTAGCATTTCAAATGAGGATCCGATTGGGCCATAAAACCTATTAAATTTTGCCCAACTCCCTGTAGAAACTTCCATCAGAGAGACTCTGAGGTTAGGAGAGCTGGAGGTCAACAGAGCTAACCTTTTACAAAGGAGAGCCTATGTTTCTTCCTATTTTACAAGATATATACATTTTAAATATTTTGAAATATTTGTATAATGGAACTGTGGAGCCATGCCCTGTGAAGAGTGATATGTGTTTGTTTGTGTTCTGGATGGGATTAAACCTAGGGCTTCCTACATGCTAAGCAAGCACCCTACCACTGAGCCCCAGCCCCAGCCCCAGCCCCAGCCCCAGCCCCAGTCCCAGCCCTGAGAATGTTCTCTCAGAGTAAGAAGAAGTAGTCACACAAGCTCCCGGTCACGCTATTCCTAACGAGCCAATCTTTATTTTTCTTTTAAAGAAACAGGATTAACAGTTGTTCCTAGTTTGTGTTTAAACAGTTAAGAACTGTTCAAAACTTGAAACATATTCAGGTAAATTTTGCTCCCTAACAATATTCTGTTTTAAAATTAAAAAAAAGAAAAAAAAGTTCTTTTAGGGATGTTCCTCAGTGGATAGAGAGCTGCCTAATACACCAGGTCATGGATTCAATCCCTACCATCACCTATAATGGGGTGGTGGGCATGGCACACAGGCTACCCAGACATTCCAGAGATGGAGGGTAGTGGGTGACTTCATGCTCAACCTCTGCCTTAGCCAGTCTGAGGCCCACTCAGGATAAACTTCACCCTCATCAAAGATAAATTCCTAGGGCTGGGGATTGAACCAGGGCCTCTTGTATTGTAGCGTGACCTCTGCGGTGGAGCTACACCCCAGAGAGCCTGGAACATGCAAAACAAAGATAAAATTATTTCCCCAAACGAACTGCTGCTGGCTTAAAAGGAACATGAGACTTGAGGAAATGGTGGGTCGGTTTCGTTTTGCTGGTTTGTTTTGTGGGGGCAGTTGTTTGTGTGTTCCTTGTTCATCTGTTTGGAGGACTGAACCCAGGACCTCACCCTGGCTTGGTACCCTTTCCTGCGTGAGTCCTCACCCGCCTAAAAGGAACTTCTTGATTCCAGGATCCCAGGCCTGGGAAAGAATGCTTGGCTGGAGAGATAAGATCGTGTTTTCTTATTAAAGATGGAGGCATCTCCTGTGCTGTCATCACACAGACAGGGGCATTCCACAGGAATCTCTGCCTGCTTAAGGACAGCTATGGAAAACGTCCCAGGTTTTCTACTACAGCTCTGCACTCCCGGCTCTTCACTCTGTTGTGAAAGGAGTTCGATGAGCTGCCAGAAATCCGCTGGCTGAGGAAAGCCAGAAGGTAGCTGCAGCATGAGAGCCACCATGAAGCAAGCAGCCGCAGAAACAGAAGCCCCGTGTGCGTCGTTTGATTGGTCGTGCCTAACAGCTTAATCTGATGTTGCTCATTGCTCACACTCACCCTCAATAAATAGGACTCAACCCAGTGACTCACCTAGATCCCCTTGGCAGATGTCTGTGCGCGTGGCTCCGTCAACAATAAACTGAGGGTTGGGACACAATTCCTGAAAGCAGTTTAGGAGACACACACAAGTCAGTGGACACTGTTTCACGGTGGAGGCAGCGTAAGCAAAAACCCACAGTGCAGAATTCAGACCTGGGAGAGGTCTAGCGCCTTGTCTACTGCTCTATATGCATGCTTCTCCTCCTCTGGCAGGTCTTTGAGACCAGAGAAGGGAGGACATCAGAGTCACAGAGCTACCGGTAAGCTGGAGCCCGGAGCCCAGAGCCCTTGTAATGACCAGGATTTTGATTACTTTGCACACTGGGTGTATGGGTGTGTAGCTATGTGGGTGTGAAAAGGCTTCAGGGTGTGGTGTGGTAGGAGAAAGGCAAAGGCTGAGATGCTAATACAATGAGATATAACCCTGCCCATTAGGACAACACCCCTCTTTACACAGAGGGCCACTTAGAGGGCTGTTTGGCAAAAGGCAATGCATGCTGTGGGCATTCCTTAAACATGTGACTAAGCAGCAGGATCTTGTAGCTGATCTGATCCTGAAGGTGTCAAAGGAGGAAGTCAGAGATCAAGGACGAGGTGTCAGGGAAGTACCCTTTCCAGACAGGAGAACTCAGATCTGATAAGGTCATATGCCCGCCTATATCTGCCATTTGCCAGCTTCCACTTGGCATCTGCTCACACGTGACGTCACCCTAGACTAGAAGGAGGGACTAGGTGGCATGCGTTCAATCTTTTTCTTTTGTTTACCCTGAAAGAACTACTGGGCCCCACTCTGGGTCTTGTGATATCACAGCAGGCAGGGGAGATGGGAGGATGGTAAAGTGAAGGAAGAAAAAGAGAAAAAGCTGGCCTCCAAGTGTTTTTGGTTTACACAGGAAAATTGAGCTGACACTATTAGGAAACAGAGTAAGAAAAAAAAAGTGCATATTAAAAGTCTAGGAGGAGTTCTGGCTGACCAGCTAGTGCCGTGAGAAGTTCCACTGTTTGGGGGTCTGTGGTGACGCAGACAGCGTGGTAGGAACGTGTTGTAGAAGAGGCCTGATCGCTTCTTGCCAGCTAAGAAGAAAGGAGAGAGAGAGAGAAGAGCTCAGGGTCCTAACCCCTCCTTCAGAGGACCGCTCTCTGTGATTGTTCCCTCTGCTAGTTAACTGTCAACTGTCCCAGCACCCCAGACCCCAGTAGTGCTAAGGGCAGGGCATTCTGAGAAAGACAAGATGCAATCTCTAGCCTCTCTCTCTCTCTCTCTCTCTCTCTCTCTCTCTCTCTCTCTCTCTCTCTCTCTCTGTCTGTCTGTCTCTGTCTCGTGTATGAGTGTCATGTACCTTTTACATCTTTTATAAAACAGAGTTTTTAAGTTTCATTAAAAGCACCATGACTCATTCAGCCAGTCCTCCGGGGGGAGGAGGGGCTTTGATTTTTGTTCCGTTTTGTTTTAATCTTTTGCAGTCTCTGGTGGCAAGTGGAAATGGTGGGCCAGAGGGATGGCTCTTTGGGTAAAAGCATCTACCACCAAGCATGACAACCTGAGTTCAATTCCTGAGGACCCGTATAGGGGAAAGAGAGAACCAACTCCTTCAGTCTTCACACCTGATGAGACACTTGTACACACACACATACATACATACATACATACACACACACACACACACACACACACACACACACCATATATACACACCACCCACACACACTATACATACATGCCACAAACACACACCACATACAAACACACACACATATATACACCACACACACATACACATCACATACACACACACACACATGCACGTGTGCACACACACACACTATATTAAATATAAAAGCTGTAGCTACAATCTGCTCTCAGGTGTAAAAGAGCACCAATCCTCTAGTCCATTATTTCCTGACAACTAAAAGGTGGAGGAATTTGAAAAACTAATTAAAAAATAACAGATTGGAAAATCTTTTAATTTAAATTGTGCCTTAAAAAGAAGGAGATAACTTCAAGATAGAAGGGAAGGAAGTGTTGACTAGGGGTTTGAAAGACTCTCCTTAAACAATTTTTTCAAATCTAACCATCCCTGCCTTCTATGATTCTGCTAAATGGGCATAGTGGCAAACTGCCCCCTAAGCTTGTATCTCCACACCAGAGAACCTTGCAGCGGGGTCACAGCTGGTCAAAGTGCAAGACTACACACCACTGGAGTGCTCAGCTACAAATGTGACAGCTACATCACTCTTCCCTCCCTCAAGACTCAGGGGCCATCTGAGAAGAGGGGTCAGAACAATTGTGTGAGCCAGTGGCTGGGGAGGACCAGAGCAAAGCAGTGTCTTCTGAACATGGCAGGACCACAGCACTCACGAACTTGTGACATTGGAGCAGGGTGGGAAGGTGGGAGGTAGGGTCTGGAAAAAGTTAGAGGGAGGAGTGGGGGTAAATATGATCAAAATCCACTGTAAGCATATATGAAATTCTCAAAGAATTAATAAAAGTAGTTTTTTAGTTCATTCATCCATCACTCCCATGAAATCTACCTTCTTCGCAGCTCCATCAAACAGAGTCGACTACATCACCAGTAACCCCAGAACGAGCATTTTCTACCCCATCTTACTAGCTGCTCCTTAACATCTGCTACCATTGGCTCGCTCTCCCTCTAAAAGCCTTCCTCTGTGGTGTGTGTCATCACTAGCTCTTGAGTGTCACATCTCTCAATACGCCATCTTGGTTTCCTCTGTGGACTCCTGTTTTCTTACTCTAGGAATCCAGGAACCCTTGGACTCGGTCCTCAGCCTCAATTCCGGCCCCATGTCATTGTCGTTTGTAGCCTTCTGAACAAAGTATTGGGGAAATCATACAAACTCACTCCTTCAACTACTAACTACAGACGATGCTGGTGCTTTCAAGGTGACCCCTGCCCTTTCTGCTCAATTCCCTGTCACACTATCCGTGTGACAGAAGCAAAGGGCACATCATATCCAATAAGTCTGCCAAGCTCTGCTACAGTCTTAGGTTTGGGTGAGAAGAGAGAATGCTGGCAAAGGCCGCAGTTGAAAACGCTGCCTGTTGGTAAGGAGGTAGAATGAATGTTCATCTTACTATGTCATTCACTAATTATGATGCAAAATGTCCCCACCCAGAAAAACAATTAGCCATGACTGATATGTTACATGGATCCTTCAAGGGCCACAGAAAGTCCTCACTTCACAAACTCACAGGGATATAAGGTCTCTGCAGGACACAAGAACTTGCTGTATGCTTTCTGCCCGATTAAACCTCAAAACAGAGATGAGTAAACAGGCAGCTGGAGAGATTTAAAAGATGGAGACCCTACAGAAAGGCGGGCAACTGGAGAGATTTAAAAGATGGAGACCCTACAGAAAGGCGGGCCCCCTTCTACCTACATTTTTGGACTGCTTCTTCTTCTTCAGCATCAGTCACGTGTGCTCAGGATGATGCTTCCTGGCCATCAAGTAATGATCCCAAGCACTCCTTAACACAAACTACCCAAGTCTTGCACTAGCCTTGGAAAAACGGAAAGACAGGAAACAGTAGTCCTTATTTCCTGTAAGGAACTCAAGCTAGGAAGTGCTGTAAAGGCACACTCTCTCAGAAGTGATGGCTACTCAGAAACATTGCTCTCCAGGACAGTGTGACTGGTAGACTTGGTTTGGCATTTGAGGGGCTCTGAAGGATCCTGTCAAGAAACCCAATATGACACTATCCTCGCTCCATCACCATATCACTCAGCCTAGCACTTCTGACCCTCCAGGATCTGGTCTACTGAATGTTTCTAGCTTCACCTGTTTCCCACCATGTTTCATTTGCTCTAATGACCATGGACCACTGCCTTCTCTGAACACCCTTGCTTGAATGTTCTTCCACAGCCCAGCACCTTGATTCACACCTGCACCTTCTCCTTGATCTCACCTACAATTTCATTCTCCACCAACCCGAGCTTAATTGTCTTTCATAATTTTCCTGTCCAATTCCACAGTCAAGCTTCACTGCCCCTCCCCCTCCCCCCCTTCCCCACCGTGCCCAGCACCCATGCACTTTGTTCATTGAATAGTTTTCTCTCTTGCCACTCTGTCATGTAAGACTATCTAGAGACAACTTACTTTCTACACATTTACATATTCTTTCATCCAGATTTCCTCATAAGCAAAGGAGGTAGATAATACTACTGTTCTCACTTCATGGATGAGGAAATGGGATCTCAGAGAAGTTAGTAACTCGCCCACAGTCACTTAGCTAGTGAGTGACAGACAAGGGACCAGAACCTTGACCACCTGACACCCAAGCCCATGTTCTTTGCCACCCCAGTGTCTCTTAGCTGTCTGCCTGTTCTCTGTCCCTCCTTAACTAGCCAAAGCTCCTCAAGGCACCTCCCTGCACAGGACAAATGCACAGCAAATCATGACTGAATTGGAAACTCCAAAGCTACTAATCCAAGAGGTAGCAGCTGGAGAAAGAATGGAAGCTGCAAACTGAGCCTGCCGCCACCCATTACCCTCCCCACAATTCAACCCCTCCATGTGTCTCTCCGCTGGGGTCCTTACTATGTGCCCAGCATGACTTCACTCTTGACTCCATTTTTCCTCTTCAGATCAATAAACTGCTTAATTGCCTAGGGGGAGGGGCGGGACATGACACTTCAGACAGAAAAGAATATTGACCAGGCTGCACTAAGTCCATTCACACTGGGCATTATGCACATCACAGGGGCTTGGGATGGACACTGAGCCCAGATGGTGAGGCAAAGAGCTAAGAGCACTCGGGATCAGCATGGCCAGCCACTGTCTCCTTGGGCAGGCTGCTGCTCTTGCCCCACATAAACAGAAAAGCCCTAGGGGAGTTCAACCTCCCAACAGAAAGTTCTTCTTGAGAATCCAGGTCTGACCTTACAACTTTCATCTAGACAAATGTGTCTTCCATTCCTTGGAACAAGAGTCTACTACTTAGGAGCTTAAGAATAAGCAGAAACAAAACAACCATGCTCCTCCTGGGTGTATATCCAAAAGAATCACAGTCAGCTAAGACAGTGACACCTGAACACCCATGTTCATTGTGGCACTAGTCACAACAGCCATGTTATAGAATCAGTCAGGGTACCATCTGCAGATGAATGAATAAAAAAATACTGTATATTTATGCAGGGGAGGGGTGTGTGTGTGTGTGTGTGTGTGTGTGTGTGTGTGTGTGTGTGTGTGTGTGTATACAATGGAGTATCATTCACTATAAAGGAAACAAAAATGGTGTCATTTGTAGGAAAATGAACAGGAGCAAAAATCATTATTGTAAGTAAAATGAGCCCAATTCACAAAGAAATAATACATATTTTCCCTTGTATGTAGAGCTTGGGGAAGTGTAGAAGTAAAAAGGATGGCTTTCAGGATGTGGACAAGGAAATAAAACACCTTAATTTGTTGAATTACTAGATTTAAAGAAAATTGACAGTTCCCAAACTAAACAAAGAGTTATCCTCAAAAGTAGCAAATCAAACAAAGAAACAAAAAGTAAACAGAACCATTGAAAAATGGGCAAAGAGCTTGAACGGGCATTTCTCTAAAGGATACACCAGTGATCTATAAGCGCAAAGATGAAAAGATAGAGCATCCATAATCATCAGGGAAATGCAAATCAAGACCACAGAGTGACCACACCCATGCCCTTTAGGATGGCTTCCACCTCTCCTCTCCACTCTCCAACCCTGATGGAACCTTCCATGACCTTCAGTAACCCTTTGCCTCTCAGCAGTGATGCCATCACAGTTTGCCCATAGCTGACTGTACCCAACCTGGGTTTGTTCCCCCATGTGCTGGCCTGGGGGCACTATGCAGTCCTAAGTACCATGCATTCTGTGCCTCTTACATGCAGGGCAATTACCCTCTGAGATTAATTTCTAGTTTTCATAACAACACTGAAACACAATGGTTCCAGCAGTGCCATTTTAAGGGCAGAAAAAATGAAGCTCAGCGAGATTAAGCCATCTGCCCAAGGCCACACTGGCAAAGCCACTGCTGAGACCTACCTTGTCCAGCTCCAAACCTGCATATGTTCTTCCTTAGAAATAATTTTAGAAAGCAAGGTGGAGTCAGAACTATGGAATCTGAAAATAAAATAAAATCCACCACTGACACTTACTTAACTCTTGACCAGATGTGACAACCCTCCACCATCTGTGACGTTCAACTGCGCCTTACCGTGGGTCGCTTCCATAGGATGCCTTGAGTTTGGGGGGAGCTGGGTCCAAGGTCCTTGTAGCCCAAAGCTGATGGACATGCTGGGAACTCCGGATCTTTAAATAGGACCCCTGAGTTCAAGCATTGTTTTCTCAGGGTCTCAAAGTCTTGGCCTAAATACTTTACAGCATTCTGGTTAGAGCCAAGACCCTCAGCAGCTGCACGTTGCTTGGATACTCCAGCTGCCAGGGCTGCCATAGCCTGGCTGTGAGTTCTGTAGGATGGACAGGAAAGCAGGGCTTCTGTGTCCTCTCAGACATCTGCCCTATAAGACAGCATGCAGGGAGGCGGGGCGTGTAAACTTTTCACCCGAGGGAGGCCCTGCTCCAAAGGGACATGAATCATAAACAGGATCAAATATGTACCCAAGGTGCAGGTAAATTTGCCCCACCTTCTCCTGCTGTTCACAAACTATCCAGAGGCCATAGGTGGAGCATATCAGAAGTCACCAGAAGCTGGGTAGGGCAGGGGCTGAGTCCTCCCCCAGAGCCTCTGTGAGGAGTGACCCTGCTCAGACCTTGGTTTTAGTCCAGTGGAAATAACTTGGAACTGTGAGCCTCCAGAACATAAAAAGGATAACCCTGCGTTCTTTTTACTTTTAATGAGTATGGTGCTTTGCCTGCGTGTATGCCTGTGCACTCCAGGTGTGCCGTGTCCTTGGAGGCCAGAAGAGGGCGTCAGAGTCCCAGAACTGGAGTTACAGACAGCTGTTAGCTTCCATGTGGGTGCTAGGAATCAAACCCAGGTCCTTCAGAAAAGCAGCCAGTGCTCTTGACCCCTGAGCCATTTCTCCAGTCGAAACGTCTGCTCTTTATAGTCACTGCATGTGTTTTTATCTGTTACAGAAAACACAGGCAACTAATACAGTGTGACAAGAATTCTCTGGACCTCTTACTTACAGCACAGGCTCTCTAAGAGCCCGAACCCTCGCCACCATCTCTGAGGGAGTTCTGGGGGCTGTAAGACGCCTCCGTGGGTAGAGGGCTTTGCCACACAAGCAGGAGAATCTACATTCAGAGGTAGAGATGGAATGATAAGAAATCCAAGGCCATCCTGGGCTACATATTGAGTGCAAAGCCAGCCTGGGCTGCATGAGCCCCTGTCTCCAAAATGAAATAAAATAAAATATAAAATAATCATGGTTTGGTAGATCTAGGGTAAGATGCAAGAACCTACAGTCTTTAGACCTTTACCCCTCAGATGATTCTAACACAAAGGTTCACACTAGACTCTGAACCAGATGGTCTCTGAGACCTGCAACTGTTTACCTTCATACTGATGGTAAGCCGTGTGTTCAGCCCTGTGCTAGGTAATTCTGAGTGAGCAGAAAGCACATTCACCTCTCCATGCATGAAAAGAAAAGAACTTGGTTTCTAAGGAGTCATCAGAAATACAAGGTCAGATTGACCTTCAGAGGCTCAAGTCAGTTATCTGAAGGATTTGATTCCCCTTATGCCTTGGGAGTCCCCCTTTATTCCCTCAAAACCCCTTTTCCTTTGAATCAAGACTCACGCACTGTTCAGTTCATTGAGCATTCACAGTCAAATTTTCACCAATGCACAAAGTTGACCCAGTCTTTCTTTAAAACAGAACCCCAGCTCCATCCTATCCCTTGAAGTTGCCTGGAACACTGAAGATTCTAGAAGCCCAGCTTATTAGTAGGGTAGTGAGGGGAAGGGCTTGTTCTTATTTCTGACTCTGTCATCTAATTATCTGAAGATGACAATGAGTCACAGGAACAATGTGGCCATTTCAAACCCAGATCTGACCATCCCCAGCAAGCTTAGAAGGGAATGGGGCTTCTGTGTGGCTAGTGGGCGTCCAAGCACACTGGCCCTGTTGACTTTGCACTTGTCTCCATGTCTCTCCTTCCTCCATGTTCTCCCCTAGAAGGCTTGCTTTCTGTTTATGGGATGGCATGCTTGCTCCTCCTCAGGGCTCTGCACGTGCTGTTCCTGCCAACTGAAATGTTCTTCTGCTCTGCCCTCTGCTCATCCTTCAGACCTGTGCCCCAGAAAAGGTTTTTCTCCAACCCCATCCCTCAAATTCAGCCACGCCCCCTCTTACACTATCAGATGAGTATGCAAGACCCTGCCCAGCACAGACTCCTGCAATCAGTGAGTTAAAGCCCCGCTGCCCCATCAGGCTGGTCTTTATTTGTCTTTCAATCCTTGGATCCCAGGACACTCCCAGAAACTTAGTTAAATGTCCGTTACATGAAGAAACAACCACATATCAAGATGTCCAGTATCTGAATAGATCTAAGCCAGACATAACAGACCTGGCAACCCCATGCAGGGTCACCAGTTAATTAATAAAGGCCTCATGGGAATGTTTTTCTGCCTGTTTCTTCCCTGTGCTTCCCCAAAGCATTCCCCTTAGACTGACAAAAACGAGCAAGCCCTTCCTCCTCCAAGCACAGAAGCAGCGCAGCTGGTAATTTTGCTTCCCCGGGAGGGAGCTCCTTCGGGGTTAGCCATCTATCCTTCCTTCCCACTCCCCCTTCCTAAATTGCCTCACTCCCGATCCAGATACTATACCAACAAGCCCTTCCCCACCATGCAGGCAGGTCTGACCTGCTGCAAATAGAGCCCTCATTTGCCCAGTCCTGAAATGAATGGTGAGTGGAGGGAAGCCTTGCTCACAGCCCCTCTTGATCAGACAGCCAGTGTCTACCTGTTATCCAGCCAGGCACCAAGGAGGGAGCAGCTTGCACCCACAGTCTCTGTCCATCTGGACAGATGTCTTCCCAACCTCATGCCTGAGACAGCTGCAAGAGACAGAGCCAGCTCCCTGCCAGGAAGCCTCAGGATCCATTACAGAGGCAAGGAGTCTGTGCAGACACCTGCCTGGCAGCCCCTACTTAATAAGAACACCTCTTGGCAAACAGCCCAAGTGCGCATCAGCCAACTCAGCCCCTGAACCTTACCCACAGACAAGCCCTCCATGGCCACAGGGAGCCAGGCAACAGTAGTAGCCCCTCAGTGAGAAAGATGAATCACCTTGGTTGCACCCAAGGGCCCCAGTATGCTTCTCAGGCAATTAAAGTTTGCAAAGCTTGTTGTCTTGTGTAACTACAGTGCTGGAAAAGGGATGGGTGAAAGCTGGCAGATTCGTCCCCTGAGCCTCCTGTGTTCAGAATGCTAAGGAAAGCAGGGGTTGGACTTGGTGTCAAGAGCATTTTGGGGTTCTCATATGTGGCTGGCAAAAATGGAAACCAGTACAGATGTTTTGGGAAACAGTCTGGCAGTTTTTGCAAAATGCCAGATGTGGAGTTGCATGGTAACTCCCAGCAGCACTCCAAAGTTAGCAAGAGCTGAACAAAAATGGAAAGTATATGCCCGCTCACACCTTGTACATGGATGCTTGTACAACAAAGAGTTCTTCTTAACAGAAAGAAGCAGACCCCAATCAATAGGTAGATCAACAAAATGTAGTACATCCAAAGAACAGAATAGCGTTTAGTCATTAAAAGGAGTGCAGCACCTAGGTGTGGTGTCATATACCTGGGATCTCAGCACTTGGGAGGCAAAGGCAAGAGGATCATGAGCTCAAGGCTAGCCCAGATGACCCAGCAAGACCTAATGGCTGGCAGAGGGGAAGGGTAGCTCACAGTACAACACCCAGCAAAGCCCTGAATTCCATCCCCCAAGAGTGAAATACTGCCGCATGCATGAAAACTTTATGCAAATTAAACAAAGCTAATTATCAAAGACATGTCATTCTCAAAGTCACTGTAATGAAACACCTAACAATCAAGTTTCAAAGTTTTCATCCTTTATGGCAGGGAGGGCCTGACAGCAGCATGACTTACATCATGGCAGTCCCAGAGCAAGAATGGCTGCTCTCTAGAAGGCCTTCCCTTTTGTCCTTCCCATTTTTCTGGGCTCCCAGCCTACAGGATGGAGCCATCCATATTCAAGGCAGGTTTTTTCCCCTAAGTCTCTAGAAATGTCTTCACCACCCAAGAATGCTTCATTCATCTCTTAGGCACTCCTCAATCCAGTCAGGTTGACATCAAGATTAACCATCATGTCTAGTTACATGAGACTTCCAAAGCTGGTAAAGCCATAGAGACAGAAAGTGACAGCCAGGAACTGGGAAAAGGGGGGATTGGGACTGACTACTACAAGGTCCACAGCTTTTTGTAGTGATGGACTTAGCTAGAGGTGATGACTGTACAACTAAAAGTCACACCTTAAATGTATGTCGGAAACAATGATGTGGAGTATATCTCCACACAAAATCTAAATAGAGCTGGGCATTGTGACTCCTGCTTGGAATGTCAGCACTTAGGAGGCTAAAGCAACCTGAGTTACAGAGTGAATTTGGTACAAGACTAGATGACGTAATAATGAGGGTGAGAGTGTGGGGAGGAAAGGACAAAGGAGGGAGAAGGGTATGAGGGAATAAGAAAGGAAAATATTACATAATGGAAGACATGCCATGATCTGAGTACAAGGCTGGCTTCCCATCTGCCCAGGACATCAAATGGTCCATTATGCAGCAGGGTTTTGGGACTGTGCCCAGAACCTTTTCTAGTCACACCAGAGAGAGAGAGAGAGAGAGAGAGAGAGAGAGAGAGAGAGAGAGAGAGAGAGGGAGAGAGAGAGAGAGAGAAAGCTGATCAAGTGATAGTATTGGGGTGTATCCCTCACCAGGTCTGTGAGATCACTCATGACAGCTTGGAGTTATATATACTTCAGGCCCTTATCCCTGGCAAGAAGGGACCCAATCAAGCCCAGGTGGGAGACTGGCTGAGACTGCCCTCCAGTGGCCAATGCAGGTCCTGCTGAACCACTATGGCTAAGAGAGGGTGGTAAACCATTCATTGGAATAAACTAGGTCTACACAGAGCTTTTACATCAGTTGGCTGATCAGACTTATAGCATCTCCACAGCCAAACTTGCCCAAGATCACTCATATAGTGAATTTGAGACCGAATCTTCTGATTTGATATTTTGTTATCTTCTCACCACTAAGATCCACAATTTCCAAGGCATCTGGATAACAGGCAGAGATGGGATGGACTGTCCACAAGAACACTAAGAAGGCAGGGGGGGTCCAGATGGGCAGAGGAATAAAGGACAAATAAATGTAGCCTGTCCCTACCAAACTTTAGTGCCATAGCAAGATGGGGTAGCACTCAAGGACAGAATGATGGACTCTGAGGTTGGTGAGTAATAAGGAGATATTCA